TGGGTTCCTAAATATGTGACAGATTGATTAACAAAATTAAAAAATTTTTATTTTATAATTTTGCTTATAGAACTGCTTTTGGTGCTTTAAGAAAAAAGATTTACTTATAATTTTGATATAAATTTTGTTCAACTTTTCTTTCTAAAAGTGTTTTAGCATTACCAACCTAAAAATTTCACTAAACAATCAGATTTCAAGATCAGGTGTAACACAGAAGAAACGCAAAAATATCAAAACAAACAAAAAATTACTCATAACTCAACATTTTGTCTATACCCATCTTCTGTGCATTAACAAAAAGTTTTCTTTGTGAAATTTTAGTGCTACTAAAGCTCTTTCTAACTTAGTTGCAAAATCTAACCCTAATCTAACAGCGAAATTTTTTTAGTGAAATTTTTTAGGTTGTTAATGCTAGATCAGTTTAACCAGTCACACATATACATGCTGGCAAAACTATAAATTCTCAAAATCCCACCAAATCCCAAATTCAAATATAATAAAATTGTCCCAAATCTCAATCCCAAACATAGTAAAATTCGTCCCAAATCCCAATCCCAAATTCCAAACCCAAAATCCAATAATTTTGCCAACATGTATAGTCATACATTCAAGTCTTGCCACATGTATACATAATATGTCGCATCATAATCCTGAACACACTAATCAGGGACAGTGAATAATATCGATTTGTATCGATCATATCATATAGAAGCCGATATTTTTAGGCAATATGTTTGCAATTTTTAATGCAATGTAACAATATGCACTCGGGCAAAATTAATATAAATTTGGTCAACTTGAACAAACATGCTAGAAGTAAAGCAGAATTTTATTTACTGATCACGTTATATCACGTTATCTGTGACTGTTATACAAAAACTTTGCATTCTGATTGGCCAATCAAGGGTATATCGACCATATCGATCGATATTTTTGCAAAATCAAATCGATATTATTTACCGTCCCTGACTCTAATGCACAATATGTTTGTAATACGATATAATCTGCATGCTATCTACCTATTTCTATTTTATAAATACACGCGTCTTTTTCCAATGTTACCTTAACGCGTCTCTTTACCTTGTTGCAGGATATAAAAGACCTGTAGGGTTTTTTCACGTTGTTATTACCACAATTTTGTGCATACTTTTCTAATACATTTATATCATGTCTGCTTCTACTATTAACGTTTGAGGAGAGTTATCCTTATGTAACGATATCCCATACATCAAGTACTTTGAACGTTGCTCATATGAAAATTGGTCTCTCCGCAATTACGTTTCCCTTATAATTGATAATTATAAGTTTGCTGAGAAAGATAAGGCACATTCATCATTTTATAGTACTCTACACCATATTAGTAATAATTTATGTATATCGCAAGAAATTCGGGTTGTCGCTCAAAAACTCAGAAAATAGAAAGGTAGGCATAATGAATGTAATTAATAAGATTTGATGGGGCCTTATCGCCAGGTGCTTGTACCTATTGGATTCGTCTAGTAGGAACTATGCAAGTACTGAAATGGATGCGTTTGTTGGATTCGTTTGGTAAACATCATGGAATTTATTGATATAAGTTTTTAGTAAAGATCTGGTGATCCTGAAGGATTCAACTATGTACCTTTCTTTACATTAAGTGGGTATTCGCCGATGAAGTAGAATACTCTCCAGCAGTTCCAGAAAAAGAAGAGATACTTTCGTGCCCACGGTAGATAAAATCGAATATTGCCATGCCCTAAAAAATATAAGAATGCCAAAATACCGTAAACGGCCATGTAAAGATCCCATATATCAGACCAACTCTATTTTTTTACTATTGTATTACTCTTTCAAGCAAGTACTCCACAAGTTAGATACAAGGATATTGGTGCTATCTTAATCACTTCTAATTAAAAACTAATATATGCAACCTTCATATAACAGAACCTTTTATAACTTGGTATCATATATGATACTACTGCTTTACAATTAGACCTCCTTTCAGAAATTCCTTTTCCCAGTTTTGTACTTGCACTTAATTATAGAATTTTGCATTTGATTATAGCCTCTTCTGAATTACAAAAACAAAAAATCCTAAGATTTTAATACCTAGTTTGTAAAGGTTTAGCAGTTTAACCTCTAAGTTATAAGGTCCAAACCCAAAAAAAATAAATAATAAATTCAATTATATATAAAAATTTATATTTTATACAGTTGTTCTCTTATAAAATCACACAGTTGGGCACATAGTAAATTTTTTTTAAAATGTGCTAATATAGGAGTTGTGCTTATATGGAGGTCTTTTTCTTATAAATTAAATCATAGTTTGGCCTAAACATAAATGTGATTACATATAGTATGATTATATAGGAGGTAACTATATGGAGGGACAACTGTATAAATAATAATAATTTATAATCTAGTGATCAAAATTAAAAAATTTATATACTATTCAATTTATCTCAATAAGATAAATTAAATATATAAAATTTATCTAATTTTGATTATTAAATTACAAGATATGCTATTTAACTACATATTCTTAATTATAATATTTCTATCTTTTTTATTTATTTTTTTTGAATATTAATAGTGAGACTATGTTTCTGTCTTAATTAAAATTTAATTTAACTCTCTTATAAAGTAAAGAATATATAGCTCTTTTACAAAGAAAGAATACAGTCTAACCTTCCTAAATGCAACATATACAGATCAGTCAAAACCATGCATTTAGGGAGGTTTGCATTTAGGAAAAGCCAATCAAATTGCAGTTTTTGATATTTGATTTGCAGGTTTGTGTAATATAATTTATTACTAAATTCTGATTGGCTACATGCATTTAGAGAGGTTAATATAATATAAAAAAATCTTTTGAGTAAATTTGCATTTGCAGAATATAGAACATGCATTTAGCACTAATGATTTCATACAGCCAAGACAAACACATGGATTTAGAGAGATATTGTATTTATGAAGGTTGCATTTAGGAAAGTTTGACTCAGTTATTTAATTTTGAAAAAGCATTTGAACATTGGATTTTAAAAGAACAGAGACAATTAAATTAATTTTTTTTTATTTAATTTTTATATTATAATTTATCATTTAATAAATGATATATAGTATAACATTTATTAGTTTAACTTATAAACTATATTATAATTTTTAATAAACGATATATTATATTTATTAGTTTAACTTATAAACTATATTATAATTTTAACTAAATGTAATTTTAAAAAATAAATATTATATATTTATAGCGCACATAAAATTTTAATTAATGTTTATATGTATATATAACGCACGTAAAATTTTATTTAATGTTCATATAGCGCACACAAATTTAAGTTTGAATTTTATACACTGTTGCTGAGTGTCGAACTAACGCAATTTAAATTTTGATTAACTCATAAATTTATTTATTAAAGTTAATATAACACACATACTTGAACGTGATTTATAAAACTTTCGGAAACAATAGAGTGCATTGATGGAACTTTTAGAAATATGTTGAGTAATACACACTTTGCATTCATTAATCACATCTCAACTAACTGCTGGGGAATATAGCAGTATCTAACCCGAATCTAATAAGAAGGTTGTAATTATTATTGTTATTTTTATTTTTAAAAAACAACATAAATTTACCTTTTTTCATGGCCACCGTGCTCAGTTGCTTGGTGGGCAGCACAAATTACTTCGTAAAAATTTTCGATATAACAAACTTGTGTCCTCAAGTTATTCTTAAATTGTTTAAGCAGATGCAGTTTCTCTGTTGCACCAATACGATAAACCTTAAAAATATTAATCACCCAATTTATGAACTTCGCATTACACTGAAGGTCTGGATTTTTTGTACATTTTAACATTCATCATAACGACTTTTAACATCAAGCTTCACCTGTTTTTTCTTTTGTTAATGGGTTTCTCTAATATTCAGTTAAAGGTTTCACGAGTCATAAAGTTATATTCTTGCGAATCCATAAGGATTGAAGAAAATATGTAACAAAAGTAGTAAAAGTCGGTTCGAATATAATGAATAAAAAAAATAAAGCATGTGACAAAAGAATTGTTTTTATAAATATCAATGTAAAAATCAGTATACAGTTCAAATGTAAATATATTAATGTAATTATTAATGATTATTATTATCGTCATTGATAAAATATGTAATTATTATTATCGTTATTAATAAATTCAGTAGCTTATTTGGGTCATTTCTTTCTCATGATCTGCATAACAATTCAACCTGTGGCATTTCACGATCGGTGAAAAAACTTTCGTGATGCAGATGCAATAATCATGTGCCAATGCACTAGTTAACTGTAATGTAAAAGTTACGTACGTACGTGCGCACCTGATACGTACTGTACAATTTTACAATTTTATTGCCGAAGCATAATTCGGTCAATTCTTATCAGGTATTCCAGGAATTAGGAAAATAACTAAACCATATAAAAAATTTTTCCTCAAAAGTTTCCAAAATTTGACCCGGCCGGATTATGAGAAACAATTAATTAAATTTGTATGGCCTTAGATAAAATTATAGAAGTTTGTGAAATATACGTTCTATAATTTATTGAAAATATCTCTATACTCTTATAGGATTAACTCACAATACTTGCCAGTGGCATCTCGGAACTTAGCACTCATTCTAATGCTTGTAAAATCCATATCATGACAAAAGTGTATGACATTTAACCTTTTCTCCTGATCAGGCCAATATGGATTCGTCACTTCAGAATCCTCCCTGGAAAAATATACAATCCAAACTTCTTCAGGACAAAGCTAATTAACATACTTCGAAACCTGATCGAAATGCTTCTTTATTTTAGGAACAGAACCGCTGGCTAAAATTTTCTATAAGTGCGATAGGATTAGTGACATCAGCGTTCTTTATCGTTAAATCGCCATAAAAATGATGATAGCCACCATCATCACAAATTCCATCCAGATGCCACTGACTAGTTATTTTATATCCTTGTACTTTTGCAAGCCAATTTGTTAGAATTCTATACATCTCACCGTCGTATGTACTCTCCCGAGGAACCTTCGCGTTCTGTCTAGAATCTACTAGCAAATGATTTGAACTTTATAAGAACGTGAAGATCCAAGAGCAATTGTTTCTTGGTCAAATATACGAACAGTAGACTTCTTCACCCTCAAAAACATCCATTGTCCCATTAGCTTGCAAAGGTACATCTTCATCCGGACAAAAGCAACTTATATCAGGTACTGTACATCGCTTTTTCGAAGAAGAATCTACTATATTTGCATCTCTCTGCCTCTTCCCTAATACAGATGATGATGGCTATAGCATTATACATAGCAACCGCATAAAAATTCGCGGTCTCGTGATGATATATGCTAATATTTCATTGGCCAAAACAAACCGCAGATCGTCAACGCGTTTTTCGATCAAAAAATTAACTCTTGACGTTAGGATAAGGGTGTGCACTATAATGATAGTAAAAAAGGCGGGGTATATAGCAAAATTTTGCCAGGAATTTTTTTTGCTAATACGCAGGAAGTAGTTTTGTAGTCGAAATTTTGAG